CAAAAAATTAATTATACATTTTCGCCAATTTGCTAATTTTCTCTTTTTCTTTCATCTCGTTGCAGGTAAATATCCAAAATCGAACCATTCCATTGAAAGGCAAAAATAACCGATGGACAGAGAGACAAAAATACGTTTATTTAAATGCAAGAGACGTGAGATTTAGATGGTTTCAGATTGATTTGTTGCGGAACCCCAAGTGAATCCATAAGAAACTGAACCTAGGTGTGGCCTTTCGTGCTTCAGACTTGATTTTATTGGGCAGAAACGTGGGAAATCCATTAATGAATCCCCTCTGATCCCTACTCCAGAAAGAACGAACTTCAGGGAGAGCCAAAGGCAATGCAGATAGTGAGATGAATAACGCCCATACATACATACTTCTATGGTATACGACTTTTTGGGCTGGACTTTGAGCTGGTTCTAGGCTCTCTCCCTAAAATTGTGTAGAAATGGCAAAAAAAAGAGAGCGCTCAAAAGGCCTGCCATGGTGAAAAGCATACAAGGTGGCCCGCTTGCTCTCTTTCGGGTCTTATTTTAGAGCTTTGACACCATTTTCGATGAGGAATGAAGATCCGAAAAGAGAGCGCGTGTCGATGTGCTTCTGAGGTCCACCCCACGACTGGGATTCGACTGTATCGACTGTACCCACGCATTAGATTGTCGTTGAAGGTCTAGACTTACGATTATTTGATGATTTGTTTGAGGTGAGAATCCACCGAGGATGTCACTGAAAGGAGCTTCTCTCACTACCTCTCTTGGTGTGCCAAAAACATGTTAAAATGCAAATCTGCACACGGCCGACCTTCAGCCTCCCCCCTCGCTTGTGGGGCACGAGGAGGGGGGGATTATGGAGATTTGCATGCGGCCCGGACCGACCCACCGACCGACCCACCGACCCGTCAGTGGCTCATTTGCATGCAATTATTTGGTTTGGATCAACCCTTAGATGGTTCGGGCGGAAATCCCGATACAGATAAATTGGGTACTCCAGTTCCAATGCGGGGGGGCTCTTAATTTTCCTCGGGGGCTGTGCAGGGCGGCAGTATTCATTCATCTTCAATGGGCATTTAATCAAGCCGCGAATTCGACTCCCGAAAAAAGAAACAAAAAACCGAACTTCAATGACAAATGCATGCACAAAAAAAAAGAAACACCAGAAAAGAGCGACAAAAAATAATAATGATGGGAAGATAAAGATAGGAAACCAAAAACAAAACAAAAAAATAATAAAAAATGGTAAATGAAATGAAATTACTGGGGTACATAGAGGGGGAGGGGTGGGGGGAGGGGAGGGTGGAAAAAAAAGAAATGCAAATGGTGAAATTGTAAACCCTTGAATGTGCCGCCATTGTCTTTGATAGTCCTCGACAGGACAGCGGCAGGGTCTGGGGCAGGGACTGCAGGGGGGGAAGTGGGCCAGCATCCTGGGTTGCCCATTTGCCAACTGGGCTGTAAGTAAGCGCATTTTCCACCGATTTTTTCGCCGCTTCAGTTGTTGTTGTGTGCCGCCCTTCCTTCCTTCCTTCCGTCCATTTGTCTCTGCCACGGGCCAGCTCTCTCTCTGTGTGTGTGTCTGTGTGTGTGTGTGTTCCTTTCTTCTTTTTTGTGTACTTTAATTGTATTTAGTTACATTAGTAATTATCGATTTTCTTTGGGGGCTCCTGCTGGGACTGTACCTGTCGTTCGCCAAGGGAATGCATTGCATGCCGAAAAAAAAGGGAATATAAATATGTGTAGAAATGTAATGCATATTGGAAGAGAATGAGGCATAGATACAGAGAGAAAAAGAGCCTTTGGCATAGATAGAGAGAGAAAAAGAGCCTTTGGCATAGATAGAGAGAGAAAAAGAGCCTTTGGCATAGATTCAATGATAGATTTAAACAGAAAGAAGGACCTACAATACCTACAATACTATGCGAATACCCTCATCACACACTTCCCAGAGCACACTTTTTGCGCCTCCACGTTATCGGACCATTTGGGGTCCACATGGATGGGTTCTCCCCCCAGACCAGTCCCGTCCCGTCCAGACTGCAGTTATGGCTTAGAGACTGATTTTCCTTTCCTCTTTGATCGGGCGTTGTGTTCATAGTTTTTTTTGTATGCATGTTTCCAACTCCAAGCGATTTTTCTCCGCTAGCCATTTGATGCCATTTTGTTCCTCTGCTCCTTTTTTTAGTCCGTTGTCAGCTGGTCGCTGGTCTCGCTTTTCAATTATGACCGAAAGGGGACTGGCACTGGGGTCTGACCTCTAGCGGGGCTTTAGCCAGGCTTGGATGGTGGAGGGATCGAACTGCTGCCATTTAAGCCATATATCACTCATACGCAACGCAGCATTGACGCTTTATTTTCATGCACTAATTGCGTTAGAATTTCAATGGGGTACAAAGAGAGCCCCCCTCCTCGACACTCCTCTCCACGCCACCCCCTTTCTGTGTTTGGGTCTCTTAAGCATCTCCCTCTTTGTCCCTCTCCCTCTCTCTCTCTCTCTCTCTCTCTCTCTCTCTCTCTCTCTCTGATTTGACTTTAGCACATGAAGAGTTTTTAATTGGAATTTGCATTGGGTGTGCGAGTGCGAGTGGGGGTGTGCGGGGGGAGGGGAAGAGATTATAAGGCTGCCACAAGGGGGTGGCATGTGCTGGCACTGATTTTTCCTTGCTTTTACCTCTATTTTCCCAGCCTTTTTTGGTTTTAGATCTTGTTTTTGGGTTAGCTGTTGCCATTTCCCCGGTTCTCCATATGGATCTCCCTGGGCGAGTACATACCCACTGCTGCTGCTCCTCGTCCTGCCTCAATGGCCGCACCATTTTTTTTTCGCATTTTTCTCAAGACCTTTTCCACGCAGGACCTTTTCTCTTCGTATTGCTTTACATAAGACCCAGAGGAGTCCGTCCAAGTCTCTCTGTAGTGGGCTGTCCGGCTGTCCAGCGTGTCCCTTCTGGCCATTAGAGAGCTCTCTCTCTCTCTCTCTCTCTCTGTGCTGTGTCCTGTGTCCTGCCCTCTCTGTCGCTGTCGTAATTAAAAACAAGAAAATTCACCAAAGAGGAATAAAAAATTGGTGCCAAGGAGGAAGAAGGAACAAGGAGTCCAAGAGGCTGGAAAGGGATTGGGTTCGCCTTGGGTTGGCGCACCTTCCCAGGACCTCCACCCACCACTCCTTCCCCCCTCGCTACTCCTTGCCACAATTTATTTAAATTTCTGGCCCGAACTCTTTTTTTTCTTAATACCTTCTTCGTCGCCGTCTCGGCCTTCTCTTCTCTTCTCTTCTCCCCCCTCCTCTCTTCTTCTCTTCTCGTTAATAAAGTGCCGGACAGGCAGAAGAGAAGAAAGTGCCAGTCCTTGTCCCAGTCCCAGTGCAAAAAGTTGCGTAAATTTGTTATGTTTGTTGTTTTTTTTCTTCTTATTATTTTAATATTTTTTTAAATAAATAAGGTAAGGGGGTGGGAAAGGGGAAGGGTTAAGGGGTAAGGGGAGGCAGCCTTGGCGTTGATGAGCAGAGCAAGTGGCTGTGGCAGTGGCAGAAACCACAGTCCGAACTCTTCATCCACACACACACCCACACACCCACACCCACACACCCACTCACCCATAAAAGCAATCATGCATCCTTGCCCCGACATTCCGCCCTCACCCTCCCCCCCCGCTATTGCTCGCCCCACTCAATCCCCACTCTTTTGGCCACCGCCTGCGCTGTAGTTCCGTTTCCGGCGCCTGCCATTTGCATCTCCAGCGAGCACAAGAAAATTTTTTCTTTCATTTATTCGAAGGATTCTTCATCTGCTCTACCGGCCTCCTTGCCCCGGTCCGTGCCCCTCCCCCTCCCCGCCTTCCCCTTTTTTTTCGTCCTTCTTTCTGTCGAAGAAGAAAAGATTTTCTTTTTTAAAACACACAAACTGGACGATGGCCCAAGGGAGGGGGGGGGGGGCGTGTGGGTGGTGTGGGGGGGTGGATATTTCGTTGCGGCTTGAGCGAACCGAAAGAACGGGTACACAAATTTCAACCTACTCAATTTTTCGCCTTAATTTCTTTTCTGTTTCGCAAGGAGACCTCTTCCCCGGACTCCATTCCATGCCCCGCACAAACCCATTCCTGGCCCGCCCTGAAAGGCGGTAATAAGAATTTTTTCTTTAGCATCTCTTCTCCGGAGAAGAGAAGGAGTGGGGGTGGGAGGGGTGGAAGTGTGCGTGCGGCGTTGTGTTTTTTCCGTATTTTTAATTTAAAATGCGAAGCATGAAAAAAATGTATAAAATGGACGAGGGAGGAGTGGCCGCCAGGCTCTGAAGGGTAGGGGGGGAACGGCCGGACGGAGGCTTCTGCCTCGTCCGCTTGCGCACTGCTTAAAAGAAAAACTTGTGAAGTAAATATTTGTCTGTCCAATTGCTGCGGCGACTGTCGACTGCCAACTGCAGCGGATTGGGACTGTGAGAGGGGGGTGGGTTGGGGTTGGGGTTGGGGTGTGGGCGTTGGCATTGGCGAAAGTGTTGTTGGATCTGGGACTGTGCTTTGGATGGACACCACTGCGGAGGACTGTGGACACTGGTGACCATGCCAAGACAAGCGACGCCGTAATGACTGTCACAGCGTTCCATGGACGGACGGAATTTCCATCACCTAAGCTCCGTTATGTATTCTCAGGGGTGTCCCAGTCCCGCATCCTCTGCGATGTGCGATGTGCGATGTGCGATGTGCGACGGTGTGTGTCCGTGTGTGTATCAGCCGGAACGGGCGTGGTTCTTGGAACTCTTTCAACTTTCCACAGAACAGTAGGCTTTTTTTTTCAATTAAATCCAATCCGCCCTGGCCGCCGGCCAGAGAGAAATCAATCAATGGATCGTGTTTAGAGAGATAGAGAAGAGTAGATGAAATCTTCACTGTTTCACAACAAAACGACTCTTATTGGGCAGACTCGAAGTGAGCCTGTGGGTCATGCACACGACATGTATTTTGTCTCGAATCGCATCACTCATTCCCATTTTCCTTTGGTTTTTCTATTGCAGGGCCTCTTGCGCACCGCCGAACAATTGAAGATCAAAGGCCTCTGCGAGACAGCGGAAAACGCGGATGACTTGAACGACGCGGCCACAGCGACAATAACCGTGTCGGAGAACATCCAGCAGGCGGTCGTGGGGAGCATCGTCAACCCGAGCATAGTGTCGGGGGGAGCAGCATCGCCGCCGCTCGAGCAGCAGCAGCAGCAGCACCACCACCAGCACCACCAAGCCCAGGCCCAAGCACAGGCCCAGGCGCAGGCCCACCAGCAGGAGCAACACCAGCAACAGCAGGCGCAGCAGCAGGCGCAGGTGCATGCCCAGCAGCAGCAGCAACAGCAGCAAATCAACGCCTTGCTGACGCACCACGGAGTGGCCAGTGGCAGTGCATCTTTGGGCGGACAGCTGCTCAGCGCGACAGCGAGTGGGAGCAGCGGCAGCGGAGCAGGCGGTCTGCAGTCGCAGCCCGGGCTACAGCCGACGACGCGCAAGTCGCGACTCAAGCGATCCAAGTCTCCGGATCTGCAACTGGGCGGAGGCAGCGCCAGCGCCAGCGGCAGCAGCAGCGTCTCCCAGCAGCCACAGCCGGCCCACCACCACTCGCAGACGCTCCTTCTGCAGGGCCAGAGTCAGAGCCAGAGCCACAGCCAGACCTCCATTGTGAGCCTACAGCAGACGGCCGAGGGCAATTATATACCCGTGCCGGGGACCGGTGACGAGTCGGACGTGGACCACGAACACGATCACGACCACGACCACGACCACTCCCACGATCACTCACACAATCTGTCACACTCCCACGACCACGAGCACGAGCAGGAGCACGAGCACGGCCACGATCACGAGAACAGGCCGAGCAAAATCTGCAAGACAGAGCAATCCCTGGCCTCGCCGTCGTCCAACTCGTCCAGCCACTCGAACAATGCAACGGGCGTGAGCGGCGGAGTGACTGCAGCGGGCCAAGCCATCGTCACACAAATTGTAGTAGCGCGCGACGGAAAAGATACAAAAAATATGACTAGTTTAGGCATGGGCATGGTAAGTGTGTCGCCGTCTCACTCTTCAGCCTCTCCTGCACCCCAGGAAACTGGGAGGGCGCGACCCCCATTAGGCAATAGGCAACCGTAACCCCCAGTCCTGTCCAGACCATTTCCCCCCGCCTGCACTTTCCCCCGCATCCATATCGAGGCTAATTTTGTCTTCTGTTTTGTTCTTTGTATACGAATCTCGATCGCACGCAGAACGGAGGCCTGCTAGGCGTGCCCATGGGATTCCTGGACTTCACACCCGAGCCACCAGCACCATCTGCCACACCAGTCACCGTAACGGAGCACGTCGATCTGTCGTGCAACCCCAGCACGGACACACGCGATCTATCAAGTGAGTTATCGGTAGTGTAGAGGGCACCGATCCAAGCAGCGTGGACTCTCCTGGCTCGATCAAAGCTAACGCAAGGCATTCTTCCTTTTGTTTTCGTTTAGATCCCACCGAACCGCTCGACATTGACAATCACCTGGCGCAGCAGATCCACCGACTCGATCAATCTCCCATGCACTCGATAGCCCATCACCATACCGGGGACGAGAGCAACTCGAACCTGGTGCAGCACATCAAGAGCGAGGTGATCGATGCCAAGCACTTGGCGGCTGCCCAGCAGCACGCGCTCTCCCAGGCCCAGCAGCAGCATGCCCATCATCAGGCCCAGCAGCAGCAGCAGCAACACCTCCATGCCCAGCAGCTGATGGCCCAGAGTCAGGCCCAGCAGCAGCAGCAGCAGCAGCAGCAACAGCAGCAGCAGCATCAACAACAGCAGCAACAGCAACAGCACCACCAGCAGCAGCAGCAGCAGGCGGCGGCAGCGGCAGCCGCAGCAGCTGTACACGCCCAGCATGGTGGGCATGTGACGCACGCGGAGATGGGTGGGGCAACTGTCATGGAGATTGATCCGAGCCAGATAAAGCACGAGCCGGGGATGATTATAACGCCGGAGATTGTCAACATGATGTCCTCAGGGCATATGGGTGAGTGCTGCTAGACCCACTAGAACATCCTAGTCCCAATGTCCCTGAACGATTGCTAACGATCCTCTATACTTCTCGTCCTGCGGCAGATATGTACAATTCGGACACGAGCGAGGATTCGATGATGATCGCGAACGGTTCGCCGCACGATCAGAAGGAGCCGCACTACACGAACTTGGATCAGCAGCATGGAGGAGGAGGAGGAGGGCTGGGCGGCAGCGTTTGCGGCCCCGGTGGTGCTGGTGGTGGTGGGGGCATGGGTGGTGGGGCTGGCTCTGGCTCTGGCGAGAAAGGTCAGTTTAATGGTCCCAAAGCTTGGACACAAGATGATATGAATTCAGCTTTAGATGCATTAAAGAACCAAAACATGAGCCTGACGAAAGCATCTGCCATTTATGGCATCCCATCGACCACCCTCTGGCAGCGTGCTCATCGCCTGGGCATCGAAACGCCCAAGAAGGAGGGCGGCACCAAGTCGTGGAACGAGGATGCCCTGCAGAACGCCTTGGAGGCGTTGCGCTCGGGCCAAATATCCGCCAATAAGGCCTCCAAAGCCTTTGGCATACCCTCATCGACGCTCTACAAGATAGCGCGTCGTGAGGGCATCCGCCTGGCGGCGCCCTTCAATGCCGCCCCAACCACGTGGACGCCCGAGGACTTGGAGCGAGCATTGGAGGCGATCCGGGCGGGTAATACCTCTGTACAGAAAGCCAGCGCTGAGTTTGGCATACCCACAGGTGAGTCGGCCCCAAATCCAAATCCAAGTCCAAGTCCGGGATTGAAATTTTGTCCACAAGTGCTCGTCGTTGTTTCTCTTCTGATGATCCACGGTCGATCCACTCTCTGTCCCTTGCTGTCTCTCTCTCTCGCGTTGTCTACTTTGCTCTCGTGTCTCTCGTGTGTCCAGTATCCCAAAACTAATCCCACTCTCTCCCCTTCACTCCACTTCACTGCCACAAAGGAACACTTTACGGACGCTGCAAGCGGGAGGGCATTGAGCTGTCGCGTTCGAATCCCACACCATGGTCCGAAGACGCCATGAACGAGGCCCTCAACTCAGTGCGGTAAGAGTCTTTGTTTCGAGTCTGGATCTTGGCCCACTAATCCACACCCTCGTATCGTCGTATCCCCCTTTCCCTCCGCCACGCAGCGTTGGCCAAATGTCCATCAATCAGGCGGCCATCCACTACAACCTGCCCTACAGCTCGCTCTACGGCCGCTTCAAGCGGGGCAAGTACGACGTGGTGGCCAACACCAGCGGCGTCTCGCTGCTGAACACCTCGGGCAACACCACCGGCAGCATTGAGATTATCGAGCACAGTCAGGAGAACTCGGTAAGTAGCTCACGCGGCGCACTCGCGCACGCACAAGAGCCTGCCAGCTTTGACTAACCGATAGAACAATTAAAAACAATCTGATTTATTTATGCAACAGTTGCATATGTTGCAGCAACAGTTCCCGTACAGTCCGTCGCCGCATCCGCCAACGCCCCAGCATCATAGCACGCCGCAGCATCACAGCTCGTCCCAGGGGCCGCCCACGCCGCAGCACATGCAGCAGCATGTGGTGCATATGCAGCAACAGCAGTCGCCCCACCAGGGCCACCATCCGCAGCACATGCAGCAGGACGTGGTGACGTCAAGCAGCCAGGTGGTGCATAGCCAACAGCAACAACAGCAGCAGCAGCAGCTTCAGCAGATCTATCAGCACCATGGCACGCCCGAGCGTAGTTGAGAATCACTGCACGCTGCGGCAATAATGGGCAGCACCGGTGGACTAGGAGTAGGAGTGGGAGTAGGAGTAGGAGGAACTAGTGGCGGCCCAGGCACCAGCACCAGCACGGCCAGCACCACGCCGTTTGCCAGCATATCAGCGTTGGTCAGCGGACCGGCTGTTGCACCTCCAGCAACAGCCACAGCCACGGCCACAATAGCAGCTACTGGAACCAGCAAGCGCAAGAAATCGTCCAAACAAAAGCGTTGAAAGCAGGATCAGCCGCGGAACCAGAGGCACGATCAGGAGCAGGAGCAGGAGCAGGAGAAGCAGCAGCATCAGCATCAGCAGCAGCTGGAGCATAATCAGCAAGAGATGGAAACGATTGCCGGCGTGGCCAAGTCCGAGGACATCAAGTTTAGATTTAATTACAAGCACTGGAAGCGCAAGCTGATGCAGTTTCATTTGCGAATGTCCAAACAGTAGGAGAGCTAGGAGCAGTCGTCGGAACAGTCGGATAGGCAGATAGACAGATAGATACCCCCCCACCCATCTCGAACTTCCCAAGAGTAATCCAATCACAAATACGATTAAAACTAGATGGACATTAATTACACAATTGAGATGTGTATAAATTGTAAATACAACAAGAAATATGCTTTATCTACATTATACGGAACATAGTTAAATAGATGTAGGTTCTCAAAGTCCTTTGTTCTAGCCGTGTAAGCAGACCGTAAAGAGAAAGAAAGGAAGATATGCAGATATATATATATATATAGATCGTACAGGAAACATGAATTTTGCTTTGCCTAAACTCGAAAGATAATGAATTAGTTTTTGGGGCTCCCGGCTGGGAGAGTAGTTCGTTTTTAGTGGACATAAAATATGCATAAACGTACGTATACGTATACGGATACAGATACAGATATAACTTGTAACCATTCTGAGAATTTTGAATGAGGAGCAAATCGTAGTTTTAAGCAAAAAAGTAGCAGAATTCTGATTTTAGTTTTCTCCCTCCCCTCCCCTCCACACCAACATCCATCATTATTTTCGCTTTATGTGAGACTGAAAGAGCGCCGTGAAAACCGTAAAGCCAGGCCCAAAAAAAAAAACAAACCATAGCGCGAAGAGCGAAGAAACACTTGAATCAAATCAAATGCTTTAAACCACACCGTTTATCGGTTGGGAGCGAGGGCAGGAATGAGGAAATACCTTAAAATAGAATAGACACCAAATTATCAAGGTCCTAGCAATTAGATCCATTAGCGTGTAAAACCAACCAACCAGCCCAGATGAAAATCAGAAAGTTATATGAATTTTACGGAAGCGCCCTGAAGCCACTTAGTTTTGATTTCATTTAAAAATTGAATTTATGATACGTTGAAAGTACATTGTGTAGAATTGAAGTAAAACGTGAAATAAAGTGTATTTTTGATAAAGAAAAAAAAAAAAGGAAAAATAGTAGAAATTTGCCAACAAATCGCAAACTTATACGAGTATCTATGAGAAGTCAACCAATAAATACACACTTATATATAGATATATATATATATATATGTATATTTACTTGGAATCCTCCAAATGAATTTGTAAAATTTCTAACGTTAGTATCGGAACACAACAAAATTGAAGAGAATAATAATAAACCCGAACATCTACGGTGGAACATTTAAAATAGTTTTCTTTCGGGCATGCCCATTGAAATTATTATTTATGAGATAGAACATTTTTCCACCAACATCGGCTTGGATAGTAAATTTAAATTAAAAAAAATTTCAAATTAAAAACAAAAACAAACCCCAAATGTACGATAACTTCCAGTAGCGTAAACGAAAACGAATACGAATATGAATACGTGGGATATACATCTACATATATATAGTAATGCAGTATCTGAGGAAACTTTGATTATTTTTGGTTTCATCTCAGTTTAGGCGAATCCGAATCCGGAGATTCGTGGAGGAAAACAACACATGTAAATACATTTGAATATAGTTTTTAGTGGTTAGTGGAAGAGGCAGAGGGGTAGAGGTATACACATATGTGGAATTTGAAAATCAAAGTTGGAAACTAATTTATTTTAGCGTTATAGATCATCCGTAGAACTGAATGCAATATGCTTAACTTATACTCGACATTATTTAATTCTATTCCTATTATCTTTAGTTGGATTCACAAGTGTTTTATAGCAAAACTGTATATCATTGTAAATTAATGAAAGCATATGAAGTACGATTAGCATATATAAAAGTTAAAAAAACAATAAACAGAAGCAAAATATCATAACATTGTTACGATTGCCGCAAGAGCAATTAAAAAAAGCCCAGAAATTTGAAAATGACGGGGGAAACGGAAAATGGAGAATGGAAAATGGATCACTGGAAAACTAAAAACTAATGAAATAATACATGTAACCGTAAGCTAACTAAACGTATAAGTGTAACCTTTAACCACTCAATATTATAGTACATTTTGGATTATCAAATATGCGTATACAGAAATATCTATTATAAACCATAAATGTAAACCCATACAAACAAAATCCCCAGAAAACACAAACGTCTATCTATGCAACAGCCGAAATAGAGAGAACACAACAAAACAAAAAACCACACAACCCAACACCCATGTAATAAACGAAACAAACCACATTTAATGTAATATTGGTATAACGTAATTTTTAAAGTGAGGTACTATAAATAAAACGATTAAATAATAAATAAGGGTGATGCGTTTGTTCTTCATGCTAACATTCAGTTGCTCTAAAACTGTTGCACAGGTGTCTGCCAAAGCTTGCAGCTAGCAGTAAAAGCTTTTCCGAAAAAGCTTTGTCTGTACATTTGATCTTGGCTCAACAGATTAGATTCGTTTCGCTGTTAAGTTGGGAGAGCTTTGCTGTTAGCTGCTCTGCGGTTGGCGCATGCTCTCCTCCCCATATGGGTCCATCCGCGTATCGCATCGCACTCGCGTGTAAGTGGAGGCCAGTTAGAGTTTTTCTGTCCGCGAGCGAACGGTTGTTTCGGCATTTCTCGTATTCCCATACTTTGCACCGTTTCCTTTCGATACGCAGAAGATTTTGTACACAAAAAGGACAAATTAAATCAGGCGTAGCATTTTTACAGAGCACAAAAACGGAGCAGCACAGGACATAGGAAGGAAATTGCCCAATTTCACAAGGAAACACAAAGGATTTGTACTCAACAAAAGCCGAAGCAATTTGTAAGTGTAGACCACACCAGACCAGACCGTAAACAAACGCGCAAAAAGTGCTGCTGAGTCGCGACGAACGAAGGGGGGGAGGTGAGACACAGCCAGGGTAAAAATCAGCGTTATCAGTGTAATTGATTAACCTGCAGTTAAGTGAAATACAAATTGCAAACAACGCTGGCCAGTGAAAGTGATTGTGAGTGATCTAATTGGGGGTACATTGTGTGAATGATGTAGGACGGCGGATGCGTCAATTGAAAAATTCGCAGGGATTTGCAAAAATGAAATAATGCCCTGTCCGCTCACAAAGTGTTGAATTATTAATGCCTCCCCCACGCACGCACACGCGTACATTAGGATAACGGGTCACCAGCGGGGTGGGGTTGGTTGCTCGCGGGCCAAAGGTGGCGAACTGGAGCTCCAGGGCCCAAAAAGCACAGCCTACGCACCGTTTAACTGCATAAACAGTTTATTTTTACTTGCCAGGAGATAGCTGCAAGTTCAAGTGTACGCGATACCCGTAACCCTCACGAAATTATTACGCATGATACACACACAGAATGAACGCACTAATACCCACGGACAGGAACATGACATACATGTGTAATGGGTATTGTGTGCAGGTAGAACTGCTAACCGTTTACCGTTCAACACGTTTTTGCTTATTAACTTACAAATAATAAAGCGTCCGAACAACGTGTTTGCTTATTAAAATAAAGAGAGAGAGACAGAGAGAGAGATAGGAAACACACGACGCGAGAGAGTAAAAGCCCAATATTGCGTGAGAGAAAGCTTTCGTTAGCACTGGCGTTCTAGCACAGCTGATTGCTATACGCTCGGAACTGACTGTGCTCGGAAATGCATTGGATTGGCATTGCTGTATATATGTTCGAATATGTATATGTATTTTAATCATTTACAACAAGTGCCTCTGCTCCCAGAGAGATGGGATGGTGTCGGAGATGGTGACACTGGCCAGCAAGGTCTAGGGCATTCGGTGTGATCGCATTCAGGTATCTCTTGAGTGTTCTCTGACCTTGAGATTCTCTAAATTGATTTGAATTGTGGATATATGTAAGTAGTTATACAAGACATTTGTGACTTTGTAGGTTTAGCTTTCATCAAATATGCTGAGGAATTACTCAAAGATTGCTCAAATTTGAGACCTTGACACGAATTAATTCACAACCGGCAGTTGAAATTACCCGTAGATGATGATATACTCGTACATCCGCTAAATCTTTAGAGTTGAAGCATCACAGTCCGTGAAAACTGAAAACAAGCAGCAGCTGGCGCCACGTACAATGATGGACAGAGGCACACGAAAGGGTGTGGGGGGTGGGCGCGTGTGGGTGTCATTCCGTGTCTGGTTGCGTGCTTAATTGCATGGATAGGAATTGCGTTGAAAAGAGGCTTTAAAGATGAAGTTTTAAAAATCGATTAACTATGTTTTTGCCACTGGGAGTGCTAGTGGTTTTTCTAACTTGCAATCCCGCTACTCACAGAATATTGAGTATACTGATTGGTTTCAATTAAGTAGATTAAAATACTTAATAATAGAGTAATCATTTAAGGAAAGCATGGCGCTATGTAGTACGATTATCGGACATCTCGAGTATTAAGGTCTCATTTGTTAATGATAGAATCTAGATTGCTATTCCTAGATTCCTTGCACAATTTAATGAATTTAATGAACATATTTGTATGCCTCTTGCAGTCCCCATGCATTCCACAACGAAATTCTAAGAATAGTCGCTGGCCCAACCCCAACTCGACACCAAACGGAGCCCTTGGAAAGCAGAACGCCTGAAGCACTCACACGCACGCAAGTGAGTGAGACGAATTCAAAGGATTTTCAAAACAAAGCTCTAATTTTTGACCTATGAAAACTTATTGATCATTTTCGAATGTCAAGGTTGGGACGGCATTAAACTAGCTCTAGAGGTTTCTCAAATTGTGTGGATTCGGAATTAGATGAAGAATTAGTTAACTAGTTAATAATTCAGTTCTCATTTGTGGCTTGTGGTTTGTGTTTCCATTTTGCTCATTACACTCTTCACTTCCGTCTCGGAGCCGAAACTAGAATGTTACAAGGCAATCAGCATACACCGTCGGAGGGACCTGCACCTAATATGCTAATGAACTTGTAGTTTGACCTGGCTGCATACGAGAACGATTACGAGTATGTGTGATAAACGGAGACTCGAGCCCAGCCCAAGGCCCAGGCCCAGGCCCAGCCACAGCCAGAGCCCTAATCCGAACTTCATAAACTCGTTCCTTAAGTAGAAGTGTGTGTGTGTGTGTGTGTTTCCCTTAACAACGGTTGTCCTTTGGCTCTCGAAAAACAAGCAGCAGGCGGATGGTATGGCCTCCCTCCTTCTCACTTTGTTGACCCCTAACCCTTGGCTCTTGTCTTGTAGGCTGTCTCTGTTCGGTTGGTTCCCCTCTGCCTTGCTGCAAAGAGTCAAGGACAGAGAAAACACATCGCATGCTCGACTTTCTCCAATGCATTGCATGCAATGGTTTCTCCCAGAACTTTCACATCTCCCTGGCCAGCCGCAGTGGAAAGTGAAAAGAAATTGCATTCGTTGTGCTCTGTGTCCTCTAGAATACTTCACAAACAGTTGGTATACCTGTAACCCACGCCTTTTCAGTGCCAAGTGCATCATATTTGATCCGGATTTCGCCACAGCTACGCAACGAGCAAAACCTATAGTTTTTTTTGCTGCAAACGAAACTCCCAGAAGAGTACATTGGGGTCCTTTATCTACATATGTACAAGTATACGCACGTGTACTACATGTATAGGGATTATATACGGGTATCAAAAAAATGGGTGTCCTGTTTGCGGTCTTTGCAAAAAACGAAATGGGATTTTGCGGTCGCTTCTCGGAATCATAATCCGTGTACGTGGATTTGTAGGGACTCTGCTGGTTCTGCCGGCTCTGCACGGCAACTTAATGAGATACATTTGCGCGTGTGATAACAGTTTCTGTGAATATCATAGCGCATTTTGATATGGTTTTCCGATAAACTTGTTGAAGTGCTCTTTTGCGGAAATACGAAACTAATTTTTTCAGTTTAGCCAAACGAATTTAATTGAAGTTTAGCACCGACATCTGCATTAATTAGTAGTCGCACAACTTAATAACTGTAATTGAATTCCATTGGACATTCCCCTGGTAAATTGAGCGAACAAATGGCTTGTTGTCCGCACAATTAGTGTCAGAAGGGGGTGGCTGATTGGTTTCGATTGTTGGCCAACCCGTCAAAGCTGTCTGCAACTGTTCTTCAGCGGTGCTGTCTGCCCCAATTGATGAGACTGTGCATCGAAGCCATGTTCCCGGGCGACTGCACATCATCTCCTGTGCTGTGTTGCGCGACAGACCAGGCAGCTCTCATGCATCCCAGGCACTTGATGGCGAAGACCTTGCTCGTCGCGACACCGCCAACGCTGCGTATGAGCATTGTGCAGATGACTTTGTCGATTTGCTCGCTGCTTTCATTATCAATGTCAATGTGGTGGAACCGTTTCACTATTCGCCAGATCTTTCCGTCGCTGTTTCTGTGGCCGACTGTTTGGTACTGTCTCACCCTGAGATGAGGGAAAGAGGTCATACAGTAGGTCCGATTCGTTCATTATTGTTTCGATGAGCAAATGAAGGAAATGACTCTCCACTCTGATAAGACCTGAGACTTGAGCTGTGAGCAATGCCTCTCTCTCTCTCTTTCTGCACTTTCACTCTCAGCCTCTTCTCTTGTTATTGCATTGATGGGGGAGAAGATATTGAATGCTTTTGTTCAGTTTACACATTGATTTGCATTCACATTTGCAGTTTATTGTCCGAGAGGTGCGGAGGCCCTCGCACATTCGTTATTTTTAGCGCGAAATTACGAAATATTTTCTCCGTTTCTGCTTTTGTGCTTTTCTGATTTGTTTATTAATTTCTTGCATTGAAAATGCGCCTACGTAGCGTGAAATATTGCCGGGCCGTTTTGTAAGTCGAACCAGTGTAATCCGAGTGAAGCCGAGAATCATGAACAAACCTTTTGTGTGCCATTTCCATTTCGATTTTCCATACCAAGCAGCGTCTGTAGGATGAGCACTGCGGGCACCGATGGAGGAGGCGGAGGAGGAGGCGGAGGTGGATGTGGAGGAGAAGGTGCACCGCCCTCAACGCCATCACCGTCTGGCCACGGACCGGGTTCGGGATCAAGTCGTCGCCTCAGCCACTTGTCGGGCAGCAGCGGCAGCACCCGTTCAGGAGGAGCCGCCACCATGGGCAACGTGGTCGGCTGGCTGAAGCAGGTTTCTGTCAAAATCCATCCGAATCCTACTATTGATGTGACCCCCCAGCACCCCCCAAGTGAATGCGTGTACCCCACAACCTGCACCCCTCCCCAGGCAATGCTCTACAACCCCCACCCCCACCCCCTCACCCTCCACCTAGCTTTGTTCCTCTTTATTTTTGATTTCTTGCCTCCCGCTTGAATATTCAGTTGCCCCTGGCCCCAGTAGAGTGGCCAGACTTACTCAATATCGTTGTCGTTGTCAGTGTCAGTGTCAGAGTGAAGTGAGAGAAAAAGCTAGATTCCATATCGGATGAAGCAACTGACAACCATTCGCACTGTTCTGCTCGCTTGCAGGCTTCCATCGAGGTGCGCGACGCAGGCACTCGCACCCTGTCCATGCTCCAGAGCAGCAATCCAAACTTTCGCTCGCTTGATCTGTCGCTGGGAACGCCGACGACCACTGTGCCCACCGCGACAACCGGACCCGCCGCGGCATCGAGTGCCGCCGCCTCCCTGTGCGGCTCAACCAACTTTGGCAACGAAGAGGACCCCAGCGGCAGCCAATCCTTGACACCGCTGCTGACACACTCCACGCGCGCGTACGTCTACGCCTCTGTCAGCCAGCCACAGAGTCCGCGCCATCGCGGTTCAGCGTCGCGGACAGCACCACCCGGCCTGAACGGCCGCTCCACGTCGATTTCCTCGCAGCTGGAGAAGACCAAGAAGCTGCTGAAGATGACCGAGGGCGACGACAAGCCCCTGACTATTTTGCACTACAACGATGTCTACAACATCGAGTCCATGGCTGAGACGGAGCCGGTGGGCGGGGCAGCCCGATTTGCCACCGCCATCAAGAGCTATGCACATCTCAATCCGCTGGTGCTCTTCAGCGGAGACGCCTTCTCGCCCAGCATGTGTAAGTAGCAGAGGAATGGGGGGCAGCAGGACCATAATGTCTAATATTTGATGATCCTTCTTACAGTGAGCACCTTCACCCAGGGAGAACAGATGGTTCCCGTGCTCAATTCGGTGGGAACACACTGCGCCGTCTTTGGCAACCATGATTTTGGTAAGCGAAGCCATCTGGTGGCTAAGAATCAGAAGGTTATCTAATCATTGCCTTTGCAGATCACGGCCTGGATGTGCTGGTGAAACTGATCAAACAGACGGAATTCCCCTGGCTCATGTCCAATGTGGTGGACAACGAGACCGGCCGTCCTTTGGGCGGGGGCAAGATCTCCCACTTCATCTTGCACAACCAGATCTCCATTGGCCTGATTGGGCTGGTGGAGCGTGAGTGGCTGGAGACGCTGCCCACCATAGACCCCAACGAAGTGACATTCATCGACTACGTGGAGGCGGGCAATCGTCTGGCCCGTGAGCTGCGCAACGAGGGCTGCGATCTGATCATTGCCCTGACCCACATGCGCACCCCCAACGACATCAATCTCGCAGAGAAGTGCAACGGCATCGACATCATCCTGGGCGGACACGACCACGTCCGGGAGGTGACGGAGATTAACGGCAAAATGATCGTCAAGTCCGGAACGGACTTCCAGCAGTTCTCGGTCATCACCATCGAGCGGGATCCCGCCAATCGGGAGCACTTCACCACGGATGTAAAGTGTGTGGACGTGACAGCCAAAATACCGGAGGACCCGGAGCTCAAGGAGGAACTCTCCAAGTACTCAAGTAAGTCGCAGTTTGGTGGCTGGAATCTCTAGTCCTAATCCTTCGCTTGTTCCTCCCGCAGAGTTCATTGAGAGCAAGCTGTCGGATGTGATGGGGGTGTTCAGCGTGGAGCTGGACGGACGCTTCTCCCGGGTGCGCACCCAGGAGACGAATCTCGGCAATTGGGTGTGCGACGTGGTCCTGGCTGCGGTTGGCGCCGATGTGGTCATACTCAATGGCGGCACCTTCCGCTCGGACCGCATCCATCCAGTAGGCGCCTTCACCATGGGGGACCTGGTAAATGTCATACCCATGAGGGATCCCCTGATCCTGCTCGAGGTCAGCGGCCGTGTCTTGTGGCAGGCCCTCGAGAACGGCGTATCGGCCTATCCCAAGCTGGAAGGACGCTTTCCCCAAGTGGCTGGCATCAGCTTCGCCTTCAATCCACTGGCAGAGCCCGGCAAGCGCATCGATCCCCAGTTGATCCAGGTTGGCGATGAGTACCTCAACTTGGAGCAGACTTACAAGCTCTGCGTGAAGAGCTACATCTTCATGGGCTGCGATGGCTATACCATGTTCAAAGGCGTCAATGTTCTCGTGAGTCTTCCATCATTTGGTGTTCCTTGTGTTCCTATTGTAAAGCTCTGTTCTCGTTCAATCACCAGATGGATGACGATGCCTGTCCAGAGCTGGGAATAACACTGCAGAATCACTTCAAGGCCATCAATTCGCGCAAGTGCGGCCAGAACACCAAGCACCGACAGTCGCTGGTGACGCTCTCGCGGAGGCATAGCCTGGTCCAGTGCCTGGACAGCATGGACCTGGACGGCCCATCGCCTATCCGCAAGCTGTCTGTGGGCCACCACAACAAGTCGATGGATCTGTCGCATGGCAACTCGCAGAAGGTCAGTCGTGATACGAGCATGGAAAACGAATCCCTGATAACGTTCAGTTTACCCCCTCAGATGCTGCGTCGTGCCTCCCTCGATGATCTGGAGCAGTCCTCGTGCGAGCTGGCGCCGCAGCTGGAGCATCGCATCGTGATGATTCAAAACGAAGAGGTAGGAACAAGCACTCTGCAGAAGATACAGATATTCGTATGTTTGAACAATCTCTCCTCTCCCATCGTCTTCTGCAGCATCATCGGCAGCTTCTGTACAAAAAGGAGACGCAGATTATGAACTCTACGATAACCGAGGCTGAGGACGAGTAAAGTTTTATTGAAAAGACATTTCCGGCATTTGTTGCATTTAATTTTTGATTTCTCTTTCGTTTTTCTAGTTACAAGTCTAGACAATTTGATTTTAAGCCAGGGTCCGGGGTGGAGAGACATATTTGATTAAGGATAAGCACAGACAGACAAAGTATTTAGCTAGTTAGTTAGTTTTGCAGGCCAGACCCGAAGAGACCAGACCCCTGGGATCTATCACCTATTGCTGTCCATGTATTGCTGTTCATTGTTACTGATCTTCGTTTTGGCTAAGTTTCGTTGTAAACGTTTTTAAGGCTCCTCCAAAACTAGATATTGATATTATGTATCTGTAGTCCTTATGTGTACCTAAAGATTACCAATAGTTAAATAATAACTTTAATAATTTTAATTAGATAAACTGATTGATTCACAGCTGATTGATATGTTGTCTTCACGAAGGGGAAAGAGCATGGAGATGCCTCAAATAATCTAAAAATCCCATGCAGAAGCTAGCTCTTTACTCGCAATCAAAATAGGTTGTGGCATGATATCGGACGGAGGAACACGCTCGAGAAGCAAACTAATGGAAATGAATGTAAAGCAATATTTTAGACAATGCTCCTTAATTTTTGTATATCTGCATTGGATATGTATATTTTTATGAATACTTTTGGAGCGTTCACAGAGAGCCCGAATATTACTTTGTAGACACACGTAAATGAAGGCTTTAACCAGTCAAAGTTCCTCGAACTTGCACAACAACGGAATGTAGTACTATAGACACAGCAGGAGTGTCCATAGAAGCAATCTGATTGCTTTATAGACGACCAACAGGTTAACAACACACAAAAACACAGGCATAAGAAACAGGAGCGGCAGCAACAAAATCAATTACTTATATTGTAAACAGCTAAACAATTAATAAATATATATATGTATATACATGTATGTATACATATATGTATACGCCATGCTTAGCTGATTGTCCATTGCTTAGAACATATAGTTAACTAAAATGTACAATATACATGCCCCAATCGAGAGGGATGCCCATGCACCTGATAGTAAACGATATATGATATGACATGATATGATATGATAGATGTTGAACATAACACATCCTTGACTCCCTTCCCGTTTAGACCGTTCACGCGAAAATACCCACTGTCAACCATTTTAATCGTCTTTTCTATTGACGTTAACCCATAAAGAACGCATTTTGTGTATATTGAACGAAGTACATTGATGTGAACATTTATTAAATACGATACATAAAATACATATGTAAAAGGGGTTGGGTCCTGTGTATGTTATTTGGCGGAAGCACGTTGGTTAGTCGACAGTTAATGCTAAATTGGGGGTCGAGTTAAACTGCTTAGGTTATTGTATTGTATTCCAGCTCCTGTTCTAGCTCCAGTTCCAGCTTTCAGTAGAACTGCAATACCAAGGTCTTTATGGCACTGGCAATGTGGAAGGCGCAGTCGCGCACCTCCAACGTATTCTTCTGTATGGCCTGCTTGTCGTCGGCCTCGATGGCCTTTTGCAGATTCTCGCACTCGTGCTGGATGAGTATGTTGTGGCGGGTGAGCTGCTTGAGGGTCTCTCGTGTCTTTTCGCTTGTATTTGGCGGCTGCAACAATGGTCGAAAAAGGTACAATTAAATCATTTCAATCCTGACAGTTTCCCTGGTAGTCTCACCAAGTTCGCATACAAAGCAATCAAATCTGTGACGGCACTTCGTATAAGCTCCCCATGCGGTGCAATCGACTGCTTTTGGTCCTCTGGCACCGGCTGCATGGCCAGTATCAGTTCTTTCAGGCATCGCGTTACCAAATCGGAGCGCAGCTTAACCTCCTCCCCGAAAGGCTTGCCCTCGCCAGCCATTTGATACATGCTCGTCGTGTTCCGCACATCCGTGTGGGTCTTTGCCACGTGGGGCGCCAGACGACGCTCGTACATGCTGGCTGGCCGCTTGATGGTCGACTGGTTCGAGGAGTTGTTCGAGGAGGCGCTATCAGCATTGGCCCCACTGCCTTCGGGCAGCGACAAAGGCTCGTGTTCTGTGTCGGGACTGCTCAAGCTCAGATCAATGCGCCTATCCCCGAAAAACGCCGAAAAAAACCAAAATAAACGAAACGAATATACAAAACGAAAAAGTAATAACTCAAAATTCTTACAGTGGCTCATCGTAGACGCTGTTGTTGGAGGTGCTGGAGAACTTGGACTTCAGCTGCGTGTTCTCGCTGGACAGCATTTGCACCACGTTCTTCAGCTGGTTGATCTCCGACTTGTACTCGCAGAGCTGTTTGCGCAGCGTCTCCATTTCGGTGTGCGAATTGGCATTGCGCGGTGGCGTATGGACAATGGCCTAGGTGAGCACCAACAAAGAAATCATAAGTAAAAGTGAACGGAAATCATAATTAAAGCTAAATTATTTACAAAATACAATAAGCAGGGAACGAAAGTAGAACGAAACTAAACACAACTCGTAAGGCAACTAAAAGTAGTCAAACTACACTTTCACAAGTCTCAGGCTAGCTTTATTGAGGCTTACATTCTACACTCTACACTGGGAGTCTACCGTTGAGGGATGGATTATATATGTATGTATAGTAGCTAAGAGCAGGGGGGCTATAGGGCCCTGCCTACAGATGAACACAATGGGAAGGAAGAGCACAGGATGTCTAACTTTCAGTCTTCTAGCCTCTTACGTGTCTAGCCGAAGCTATTGTTCAGCTTGAGTATCTTTTGGCGCATTAGGTTTACCTGCTGGGCCATCGGGGGCACTGGAGCATAGTCATCGTCACTGGCCACTGGATCATATATGGGCTCATCGTCCGACAGATTCGGATCGTGTCCGCTCTGCTCGAATGAACTGAGCAGAAGGGAATTGTTCGCATACGGCAACGATTGCAGTGAATAATGTGCTGGTAATGGACCAGAAGCATCCATCGGTCGCAGATTGGCCATGTTCTGGCGCCGCAAGGCGTCGACGAGAACGTCAGTCAAGAGGCCAGCAAACTCGGCGCGATTAAAACGTGCCAATTTCTGACGACCCTGTGTACGAGCAAAATGATGAGAAATGAAGGTTCAAATAATTTGTAGACTGTAGCCGTGTCAAACCTGATTGCGCGTGGCACTCAAAAACGGATTAGCTGGCAAGAATGGCACAGTTGCATGATCAGCATTTAAGGTGCTTGTCGACCAGACTGCAATAGGTTCAACACATTAATATATGATTAGAGTTGTTTATTGCTCAGGCAATCTCTGATCGGACTCACTGGCTTCGCACTCTCGTCGATCGACCTCGTCGTACAGGTCCATCACCAGCTCCTCGAACATCTTGTTCGGCACCAACTGCAGTTTTCCTCTAGCTATCTTCAGCTGCTCGCTGATGTCGGCTCCGTTCGTCTCGGGTATTGTCAGGTGGCGCCCACTCTGAGGATATGAACAGAAACGATCAGTAATCTTTAAGTTTCCCTGGTAATAGCTAAACCCACAGCGTGATCTGGTCGCTTGCCGCCCAGGAACGCAATGATCCTGTCGGTGACATCGTACATGGCATCCAGCAAGCGCTCGGCAATGGTGTTGTGATTGTTGGCCTTGGCCAGCTCCAGGGGAGTCATACCATTGCCATCCAAGGCGTTTACGTCGGCTCCGTAGACAAGCAGCATCTCGATTTGCGAGGCCTGGCCGAATTTGGCCGCCATATGCAAAGGTGTCGACAGCTTGTCCTCGTGATAGTAGTTCGGATCTGCACCCTGCACCAGGAAACGCAGGGAGGTCTCCAGGTTGCTGGTCCGCACGCTGGCGTGGAGCTGCCGACTCAGCTCCTGCTCCAGATTGCTGCCACTGCCGCTGGAGTCGTCGTCATCTTGCAGACTGGGCTTCAGCACAAATGTCAGATTGACGTGCTTGGCCTTGATGAAGTCAGACTTCGTGGGATGCAGGGCATCCTTGGGCGTGGGCTTGCGCCAGCGTAGCACGTGCTTGCTGCCCGTCAAGTTGCCGCCACCGTCCAGCAAGTGGTGCTCCCAAACACTGTTGGCCCCGTGCGCGTTCAGAGAGTTCACGAAATTGAGCACAGATGGCTCCCAGTTGCCCTGACGCAACGACTTCACGATAGAGATGTGGCGCCCCAGGCTGCGATGCACAGAACAGCAGTCGGCGCACAGCAGAATGCCGCGGTTGATGCTGGCCCAGGAGGGATCTGTGGCGCCACAGTCCCCGCACACCTCCGACTGTAGACGAGACTTGCTGCGCGACATAATGCTCGCCCGACTGTGGCTGGCACTTGAGCGCGAGGGCGTGGTCTCGGGGGGCGCTATAAATAACTTCTTATGCGCTTCAATTATGCTGCTGGCGAAACACATTCAAGCATTCCACACTCAAGAACCCTGCGATGCGATACGACAAAAAAAAAATTATTGATACAGAAAATAAGCGCACTGTTGGGGAACCACTGTGAGTCAGAGAGGCGGGCATGAACTGAGCCCCACTTTGACCATCACTGCTCCAGCGACCCATGCACCCAATCGAATCAATTATGAAAATTACTTTTAATTAATGCTGGGGACGCTTGCACTGCTAAATATTTGTTTTTTTTTTTTTTTTATTTATTTATTTATTTATAAACAGCAGTGTGACCTAAACCGTCCGAACCTCAGAAATATACCAAAATATACCGTCTCATTTAAAAAATATTCCGTAAATATACTGACGAATTCAAGTTCTTTTTACATATTCCTCGTTTTTTATCTTCCGTTGAATAATGCTGGCTAACTAAAACCTTTAGTTCTGCCCACATAATTTTAGGCCGTTCATGAATACATTTTCTTCAAGATTGGCTAGTTTTTAGTCCTTGCTTTTATTGTATTTTGGGTAAAACAAGGCTTAAACAAAATAGGTCAACAACAAAACAGTCGTAATGTTGCTGGTAATTGAAGACATGATGCGTGTCTAGGCATTTGTATACCCTATTTCGTTAATTTTATATGAAGACATAACGTAATTTATAAAGATCTTTTCTCAAATTGATATGTCTTAGACTTATTCATGTGTATTATTAGTATCTTGTGTATATTTATGTCGATCCTGATACCTACTGAGCCTTGGAAGACAAACGTATTCACAATTCTATAATATCCATTTCCCCCAGGGTATGTGTGCATGGAATTAGCAACATGTTTGTGTATGGAATGAGACTCATTGTTGCAATAGCGAAACTGCGGCGAATCGGGTATTGCCTATATTTCAAGCTATATAGATTTCCCCACTTAGCTTTATCCCATAGATAAATACATTTTCTACAAGATTGCTTCTTTTAATTACCTTTATGTATTTTATTTTGACCAAAAAACGGTTTTCAAGTAAATGTTGCCGCAACTTTTGTGTATGGAATGCGCAACATTTGTGTATGGAATGAGACTCATTGTTGCTAAAGCGAACTGCGGCGAACTGCGGCGAATTCAAATTTCTCATATTCTTTGTTCCGTTGAATAATACTATCTATATGGAACTTTTAGCCATGCCCACTCAATTTTATACGATTGATGAATCAATTCTATACATGATTGGTCTATTCGAAATACTTGCATTTATTGGATTTTTATATAAAATTGAAAATTAAATTAATAACTGACAAAAATACCATTTAGCACTAAAAAACACCACATGGGAGCGCGGCGAAAACCAGTTTCTGCAGTATGACCCTCAAACATACCGTCTCATTTAAAAAATATACCGTAAATATACCGTCGGTTAAAATTTCCACTAAATGGCAACGCTGCGAATCACCTTGGCAGCACTGTCCACGCCACCATATGATCAACAGTTTGAGAGCCACTGAAGCCGCACGTGCAAAACAAAAACAAAGTGCCGACTGGATTTTAATTGTGAATGTTTCTGCTGAATAAACGACGTTTTAATTAAAACAGCATGCGAGTAGAGAATCTCTACACTTCAGTGGCCTGCAACCGCTGCACAGAATGTGCCGATTGGGGTTCAAATGGCCTAATTGCGTTCGGGGCCTGCAATGCCGTGGCTATAATGGATCCCAAGGTAAGGGAATAATATACAGAGAGAGGATATGGCAAACCAATAAGATAGATTCCTTGCAGTTTAATAAGAATTCCGCCAAGATTCTGCATACTCTCGTGGAACACACAAAGAGGGTGAACACTGTAAAGTGGCTGGATAATGATCAACTTTTGTCCGGGGCCGACGATGGCGACGCCGTCCTCTGGCGATTGGATAACTCTGGGGCCACAAAGCGCACTGTGCTCAAGGGACATTCGAGTGGAGTAAACGCCGTGGATGGCGTGCGTCGGCCAGACGGTTCTTGGCTCCTAGCCACCGCAGCTGCAGACAACACCCTGAAGCTCTGGATCTACAAAGATAACGATGTACGATGCTTTCAAACAATCCAATTGGCTGGGGGCTTCTGCTTCTCGCTGCGGCTCACGCTTCTGCCGAACGATCATGCGTTGCTGGCCTTCAGTGGTGATGATGAAACAGTGTCGCTGTGGACAGAGCAGATCTCTGCTGGCGGCAGTCAAGCACGGGAACAGGGACAGTTTGAATGCGTTCACAAGCTGATTGGCCACGAGGATTGGGTGCGAGGGCTGGACTTTGTGTACGACGGAGAGGATTTGCTGCTGGCCAGCGGCTCGCAGGATAACTTCATCCGACTCTGGAGAATCGCCCCACGCAGCGAAGAGCAAATGCAGGAGAATCGGGTGACTCTGTTTCAGTTGTGTAACAGCGATAAAGAGCTCAAAGTAGAGGAAAAGATTCTACAGTTGGGGGCGAATGCCTGGTATGCCGTGAGTCTAGAATCGGTTCTGTACGGGCACGAAGGATGGATCTACGGAGTCCAATGGCACATCACAGAGCAGCAGGGTAAGAAGAGAATAATAAGCCTCAAGAACTTTCATAATATGCAGCCGATACTTTTAGAGATACGCCTGCTGTCTGCCTCCCTCGATAAAACCCTCATTGTGTGGGCACCAACGGAGCAAGGAGTGTGGCTGGAGCAGGTTCGAGTCGGCGAGGTTGGAGGCAACTCGATGGGCTTCTTTGGGGGCAAATTCTCAAGCGACGGACGCTCCATCATGGCCCACAGCTATCAAGGAGGGTTCCACATATGGAATCAGAACCAAGATCAGCCCCATCTATGGACTTCCAGCGTTATTGTTAGCGGTCATTACGGAGAGGTGCGCGACCTGGCCTGGGAGCATGACGGAGCTTATTTGATGACGGTCTCCGCGGATCAGACAACACGCCTTCATGCCCCTTGGCTGCAGGACAGCGGCGACTGTACCTGGCATGAGCTGGCCCGACCCCAGGTCCATGGCTATGACATGCAGGCTCTGGCTTTGCTCTCACGCTACAAGTTTGCGAGCGGTGCCGAGGAGAAGATCGTGCGCACATTCCAGGCCCCGGCGAACTTCATTGAGAACTTCCGTCACATCAGTCGCGTGGAGAATGATGAGGCGGGAGATGCTCTTTTGGATTGTAAGAGAGCCATAGCCGTTAGCCGTTTCCGTTAGTTGAATATTTTGTTGTTTTTGCTTGCAGCTTTGCCCAAAGGAGCCTCCGTGCCTTCGCTGGGACTGTCCAACAAGGCTGTCTACAAAGTAGAATCCGACAGTGGCGAGACAGCGAAGGCCAAAAACGACTATCCAGACAACTACTTTGTGCCTATTACCCTGGAGACCCCACCCCAGGAGGAGACTCTGATGCAGAACACGCTTTGGCCCGAGCTGCAGAAACTCTATGGACATGGCTATGAGATCTTTGCCCTGGCCGCCACTGCAGATGGCTCCCTCCTGGCATCCACTTGTCGAGCCAGCACCGCAGAGCATGCTCAGATTATTCTCTGGTGGGTAGCGAAACCAAAAAATTCTATAAAAAACTGATAGAGAGAGCCTTGTTGCAGGAACCCTACAAACTGGAAGCAGGTGCAGAAGCTGGGTGGACATCAGTTAACCGTTACACAGCTCAGCTTCTCCCCCGATGCACAATACTTGGTATCCGTTTCCCGCGATCGCCGCTGGTCTCTGTACGAGAGGCAGGAGTCCTCCGCTGGCTACAATTTGGTGGCCACCACGGACAAGACGAATGGGGTGCACACGCGTATCATTTGGGCCTGCGATTGGTCGCACGATGGAAGACACTTTGTCACAAGCTCCCGGGACGGAAAGGTCGTGGCATGGAAGAAGGGAGAACAGACTGGAGAAACCTCTCTGAACGGCTGGCAGGCGGCGGGCATTCTAGAGCTCAAGAACGAGTCGATTACAGCGGTGGCCTTTGCCAGAGATTACCTGAGTGGCACTACTGACACCTACGTTCTTGCTTGCGGCACGGAGACGGGCCAGATCAAGATTTACCAGTTCGCTCAGGGAGAATGGAAGCTGCTCTGCGACTTAAACAAAAAGTGAGTAGAGTCTGGAGTTGGGTTTCCGGCCTCGTCTGACAAGGGTTTTGTTTATTTTCAGTCAAGCCCACCATTTGACCGTTCGTCGGCTGCAGTTCCGACCTGGCCAACAGCATCTGCAACTGGCCAGCTGTGGGGAGGACCACTTGGTCCGCATCTACACTATAAAGATGACGTGAATCTGACATTGTGTGCATTAAACAGCCTTTATTAAACTTTTTTGCGTTTAATTAGTAAGCTGTAACCACTGTGCAGACACGGCGGAATTCTCCGTTCTCAGTATCGTACATTGTATATCGAACGACGTTATCTAATCACCTGCAATACACGGAGTTCTGGGCTCCCCCCCGACCAGTGGGAGTCTGCTTCCTGATAACAACTTATTGATGGTTAATTAAGTGCCCGATTTTCGCACACCGAGATGTTGAAGTCGACTATTTAAGCTCGCTTTTCCAGTGGTTCGTTCGCAGTCAATTCAAGCGAATTCAACATGAAAGCAGTCATTATTTTGGTACTCGTCGGCACTGTTCTGGGCGCTCCCCAAATCAAGGTGAGGCCCTATAGCGAGCCCCATGCACATATCTTTGCTGAGGTGCGACCAGCGGGTCAGAAGCACCAACAGCAAGGTGTCGACATGGAGGTCAAGGAGCATCATCTTGTGGTAGAGACGAAGCCAGCTCATCAAGCATCTGCCGAGAGCCACGTTGTTGAAGCGGTGTTCAAGCCAGCTGCCGAGAGCCACGTCGTTGAGGTGGAGATCAAGCAAGCGGAACAGAAGCCCCAGCACGTAGAGTTGGACATCAAGCCCGTGCACGAGAGCGCAAGCCACGTGGTGGAGTTGGAGGTCAAACAGGCTGATAATCACCAAAAGCCCCAGCACATCGAGGTGGAGCTGGTTGCCGGACATAAGGGCGTGCAGAGCCATCACGAAGTCGAAGTGGAGATTAGTCCTGAGCAACAGCCGCCTCATCAGATTGAGGTGGAGATCGTCAAGGGCGTTGCCAGCGAGGTGAAGCCGCCGCTGCCC